TTGAGTAGCACTGCTGTTCAGCTTTGCAAGTACACAGGGTGGTTGAAAGCTATACAAATAACACTTTTCACATTCTTTTCATCTTCTGATAAACGAATGCAAAAAAGATCAAATAATTTCCAATCCTCTGGAAGCACGTTCTCATTCTGTCTGAGTCCTCTCCAAGGAGGCTCAAGTGGCCCAAGCCGGTGTGTCTGAAGTGGTCTTCACCCTTGTCTCTATGGGCTATGTCTGAAAAGGTTTTTGCGACCACCTCCCCAAAGGATTTCGCCCTTCGTCGAGTGGAATTCTCCACTGGACTGGACCGGTTTCATGAAATCGAGTAGCGGATTATCCAAGTCACATATGGGGTTCTTATGAGTAAGCTCATGTCCCAAATGTTTTTATGGCATTGCTTCCCTTGGTGACTGGCAATTGGAATTACGAAAGCTTTATTTGATGCATCACCTGCCTAAAGAAGAGAAAGAATGGTAAGACCTTTTCAACGAGATGAGAATCTGCTTATTTTTTGTAAGAGGTTAGTCACTTCATCTAAAGAGCTCCAGATAATTGCTGGTACTGAACAAGTGAGCAATTTCTACCTGTTGATAGAATGCCCTGTGGTGGGAAACCTGGTCACTTCGTTCGGGACCATGAAATGGATGCGGGTCAATTTCACGCCGTGAGAACATGCTCACTGCGGTGAGAAGCTCTGGAGCGCCCTCCTCTGACCAGCCACCGACCACCTGCCGAGCTGGGGCGCCGTGCCGCGCTCTGATTGGTCAGTTCGGCGGTGACGTCATGTCGACAGCAGCTAACGGAAGGGCCGGACAGCACGGCGCGCCGGCCGTCAGTTTACATCGGGAGCTCGTCTGGTGTGGTATTGTGACGCTCCAGTTGAATTGTGCCGGTGATCTGACTCTTGGACTTGGGCGGCGAGCAGCCGAGGAAGATTTTGAAGAGTGGGGGTCTCAAGAAGTTCACCTATCAGAAAGAAGATATGATTGATCTACTGGGATTTACATTTAGTGGCGACTTTTGGTGAGTGCCGATCACTTAACCTAATTGTATTGACTCTTCACATGTTCTCGTTCTTTCATCTCCAACTGCATTTTTATTTTGTGTATAACTTCCTTATAAAATCGTCTCTGGTATCCGGAGTCTATTGAACGTCTCGCCCACATATGACTCAGTCGGGTGCTCAATTCAGTCCGTTAATTGCCCGGGTCAACGGGTCCGCTTATGTAAGTGCACTGTACTTTTCCATGTCGCTATTAACCTTTTGTGCTGTCGGCGATTTTTACCCGGTGATGAAACGCATCTTGATCCCATTCATTCCTCTGTCAGAAAATGAAAGGTTTCCTAAGTCATTCGTTGGCCACGCATTTTTCCCGTTTCTGTGATGTAACCTTTTTAATCTACCTGGTATCGTGGTCAAACGTCTCTTCCAATGTGTGTCACTGCAGTCTAGTCTCCATTGTCTGCATATCATGTCTGTGATCTTACAAAGCCACGCGCTTTGTCAGTGTTGCCACTTGCCATCACTGACATCACTGACAATGACATCACGTGTCTGACGTCAGTGTTCTGATGTCAGTGCGAACTGGGAGAGACCTGCGGTCTGCACGTGTGTATTACTCACCCCTCACTGTCAAATGTCACAGTCTCGCCGCCCCCGTGCCTGTCCCGGCCGAGTTGCTAGGCGGAGCTACCTTCCCCCGCGGCGGCGCCGTACTAAGTCATGTGCGGTTGCATAGTGCAATGGTGCAGAGGCGCGGGCTCGCCGCCACACCCAGACCCTTCTCTGCAGTCTGCGGGAGAGTAGCTAATTTGGCAGAGGCGGGTCAAGGTAGAGAGCTGGGGAGGGAGGTCACGGATGTCGGATCGTAATAAATTGACTATGAGCTGAATTTTCAGTTCGTCGCGCCAAAGTTATACGATAGGTACTAGTTACGCAGTATCTATGGTTGCCAAAAATACATAATCTGACAAGAATACCTTCCGTACTAATAAGCTCATTCCAAATTTCATGCATCCGTCGAAGCACGGTCAAGGAGAGCACCTCCTGCTACCACCCGCCTCAGGATCTTGCTCCAACCCAGCAGAGCCTCATCAAAGTTCTTTCCATGCACCACCGCCGCTGCCAATACCGCAGGGTGCTCCTCTGGCGGTGGTCAGAGGTGCCAAGTCATGCGGTCAGAGGCTTGGAGGGGTTTCTCTCGCCGAGCTCCGGCTCCGGCCGCCGTCTCGTCGCTGGCGGCGGCGGCGGCGGCCGGGAGGCGTTCTGGAATGTTCTGTGGTCGGTGAAGGTGCTGCTGGGGCCTGGGCTGGGTCCAGGCTGGTGGGCGAGGCCGGTGCTGGGCTGGGTGCAGCCGTCCGGTGACTTTTTATGGTAGGAATGAATGTTTGTGGCGAGCTGAGATTTGACACTAAAGAGGGGGGAGGGTTGCTGTTGTGTTGTAGGAATTGAAGAGAAGCAAGGTTAGAAAGCTACACGCTTCGGTGTCACGTGCTAAGAAAGTAATGCAGACCACCCGGTCCCATTGTTACCTGACGGTTATGTCATATGTGCAATCGGCTGTTTTTATTGACTCGTTTCACTAAAAGCAACTGTTGTAATTTTGAAAGCTGATTTGGACGATTCCTGTAAATCGTGTGCTTCAGCGTTACAGTTTTATTGTTTACAATTAAGCACGCCCAGCTTGAATGTGCTTCGAAATGCAACTCTGATTTCTTTAGCCAGCATTATTTGATGTGGTAATCCGTTTCAATGTCAGGTAATGGGTAATCCCTTTCCTTATTTAGACCCCCAAATCCACTGGTATAATGGTTGATACCTACCTATTCAGGGAGTGGCCAATAACGACCGAGACGGTGTCGCGTGTCACCTGCATCAGTCTCTGTCTCAGCCGGCCAATGCTCTAGTGCCACATCTGATCACTGAGCCGCTCTCTGGAGGCTCCAGGCAGACCCAGATGGAACGTTCCAGAGTCGCCCGAGGTGGGAAGGCTCCAGAGCTGACCTGGACCGGGAGCTGGAAGCCTGCGGTATAGGGGTGGCTGAGGGAGGGGGATGTATTGGAGAATGCCGGGCGGCGGGTGGGATGGGGAGGTAGATGCGGGTTGAAGGATTTTGCAGGCAGTACCTAATGGCAGCAGGAGAAGTGTGCCTCGTTTGTAAATGCCCTGATGTTCCAGGAGAATGGAGGGCGAGCTATCATGCTTACTATAGAGCTGGTACAAAATAGCTTCTGCGCTGTGTGTCGGATATTTACGTCTTCCGAGACTGGTATCGTGCATTTCCTTCCTTTGCGAGTTTTGCATTCACGTGACTTGAAGCAGTTTCCTTTGCACTCAAGAAACAATCTTTTGTCGCATAGCAAAAATAGAATCATGAAGTCTCCTCAGTGAACGCCCTCCGAAATATGAATGGAATCTGAGGCAGCGTTTGTGGTGGTTCTCGGCTACTTTGCGTAGTTTGCACTGCACATCCGATACGAGTTTCAGCCGTTGAGCTTGGGGTTCTAAGAATATGCCGGTGCTATTTTGAGTTCAAACTTAGCCCGGATTTTCACTCAAATATCTTCTCGCTATCAACAGTTAACGCAACAACATTGAAAAGCATCAATCCCAGGAACGAAGCTTTCGCTTCAAAGGAATGTTGGTCGCTTGCTAAAGCCGGAATTCAGATCCACATTTAGACCAATGCAGAATTCAGACCAATATTCACCACCAAAGATGTAGCTCCATGATAACAATACCGTACATTATATGAAAAGTGGGAAGTTCGTCGTACTTTATTTCTAACATACCTACCACATAACATGAAACATACATCGATATGTTTGGCAAGGGTCTGTTACCGTGCACGTTTTTATACAATTAATCGCTGTCCTTCGAAGACATTTCCTGTTAACATTGAACCGAACTCTGTCCGGCTGACGGAATGCAGTGCCGAACTTTTGTTTACATTCAGATCAGGCTTTCGTTGGCGAGACGCCTGCAGTGGCTCAGTTTTGACACCCTCTGTACGCTGTCCTTGGTTGGTTCCGTTGACCTGCCCCGGGTATGTGCACTCTGCAGACCAATGTTGATCCATGTGGTCGCCGTGCTTTGCTTCGAGCTGAGAAGTTTATTTAATTGAAGCGATCTCTGACGGGTGACCTCCACATGGATAGGTCAGAGATCATCAGTTGACCTCGCCCCGCGACTCCCAGTTCAGAGTGACACTTCGGGGGGGGGGGGGAGGGGCTGCTGCTACTGTCGGGTGATGAAATCTATGTTTACCATTGTGTGCCTTGTCCTTGTCAGTCTGTATAGTGTATACTGTCTCTGCGCCAGACAGTTAAACCATCTGCTGTTGCTACTAGTGGTGTCAATTTCAGAAAACGTATGTTTAATGTCCGTCCAATGTCCAATACTTACGTCGACTGTCCGTCCAAAAATGTCCTAGCCAGCCATTTGTCCAAAGATGTCCGACATCTACGCAATAGTTTACACTCAACACCGTTATTTAATTCGCTTTAAATGTATCGTTACCAGCTCAAAAGTGTTGATCATATGGAAAACTGAGCTTTCTAATGGCCAATCAATGTTAAACACGATTACTTTATATAAAAAAAATTGAGGTGTAGCAAGCGATTGTCCAAAGTTGTCCAAAGCCTGCTGTCATTGTCCAACCAAATTCCGAATTGGACATTGGACAAAATCGGAATTCCGAAGATTCAAGTTCCGATTGACACCACTAGTTGCTACGCTGTCCTACTTGTCTCAAGTGTCTCAGCCTCACAGTATGCCTCCCTCCAGACGGTGGTTTTTCCGGCCGTGGAAATGCTGTATCCCCGGTATGTGTCTCATTTGTCTCATTTGTCGCACCGGATGTCCCTCGCCCTGTCTGTGTCTCACGTGTCTCAGCTTGCGTTGCCCGTATATTGTCTCCCTCGGGCGGTTTTCGCACCAGCCGTCCCCCTCCTGTGTCTCAATTGTCTCTCTTGTCTCACCCCATGTCTCTATCTCCCTCAGGCGGTCCTCGCACCAGCCGTGGCCAGCCACACCCCTTCAGGACTGCGTGCGACGCGCCAACAACCACGATGACGTCACGACCAATGAGCGCGAGCCGGCAGCTGTCACGTGGCCGCCCTCGGTCGAGACGGAGCCAATCACCGTGCCCAGCTCGGAGCGGTCACAGGTGCGTGCGCTGGGCGGGGTCAGAGGTCACGGACGGGGGTCACGTGGGGTATAAATGTCAGACGTCTAACAGATCGACGGGTTTTAGGGTTTTGTCAAAGGGTTGTGAGAATTATAGGGGCACATGGGTCAGAAAGATCACATATTGGTATGAAAGGTCCACCGACTCTTAGTGCCCTGGGTCCACCTTTGAGGAATGACAGGTAACGGGTATTCAGCGGATAGAGATCGGCATTAGCGGACTCAAGGGACCGTCAGAAAGGACACACTATTTTGAACAATTGTGAAATGATCGCCACCGTTACGAACCAGAACCAGGTAATGTCTTACCAACTGAACACATCCTTGTGCGTAATGCGTCTCATTAAAACGCCAACGCACCGGGCTCTTAGATAAGTTGTTGTTGAACTTACCAAACTATTTCGCTTCCGGGTGCTGGCGGCTGCTATTGTTTTCGCAGTTTGGTCCGGCCAGGTATTTTGCAAGTCGATTCGCTCCTTCGCTCACGTGTCGGCAGATTGCTCTGTGATACGACTAACCGGTTGCGTACGCATGTGGTGCGTGAAAATCTCGCTACTCGGTATTCTACCTGCTTGGACGGGGCGAATAACACACGTGTGTCCCTCGCACCGAGTCGGTATTGTGACGTCAATCGCACAAAAGGTGCACGTGTACTGGAAACGAGATCATCTGGCTTTGATGGTGCTATGTGCGAAGTAGAGGTGTCAATTTCAGAATTTTTTTGTCCGATGTCCGTCCAAAGTCCAAAATCCTAGCTCACTTTTGTCCGAAAAATGTCCAAGGCATGGATTTGTCCGAAAACTGTCCGAAAGCTGGATATGGAAGGAGAGGATGGGGGAATTGATCTATATTAGGTATATGTTATTATGTACCACATGATAACTAAATAACAGATATCCGCCATCTGGTTTTGAGTGCAAAATATTGCCAACTAAAAATGTTGAAGCAATATCATATGCAGTAGGGAATGGGCATTTGGGCAAAAGGCCTAATCTGATATACCTACAACACAAACACAGCATATTGAGACAATTAGCCTATTCTGCTTTAAAATGTGCTACAGCCTACAACTGAAGCTGAGTAAGGAGGAATAATGCAAAAGATTGCCTTATCCCTCAAACTTGCGATCTCAAATATTGACTTCTTGCCGCATCCCTTTGACACTAAGCCACTTGATGATGAATTAATACAGCAATAATGCAAGAAGCTAGTCACTTACAATAATGCATATCTTTATCTTGTATCACACTGGCTGACATGTAAAGTAGAACACGTCTTGCAAAAGCAAAATAGTTCAAGTTCATGTAAAAAGAAACATGTGAGATAGGTAGATACATCTGGAAGAAACGTGCTCTTCACTGAGCAACACATCTCTGAATATCGAAACAAAATAAGCGATCACAAAAATAAAAAAAACTTGCTATGATTTAACACAAATTCACTGAAATTCACAAGCAAAAGGAAGTTGTAATACTTGGTAGAATGGAAAACACATTTCGTGCTACCATTCTCGGTAGAATGGAACATGGTATCCGGCTTTGAGTCGATGATGTGAAAGTAAATCAGTAATATGACGTCATTATCAGATAATTTGTCCTATTGGAGTACATTTACCATTAGTTGTTTGACTTTAATATAATATGCAGTGCGAAATATGATTTTTTTTTTCAAAAATTATTCTATTGTTAAGCAAATTGACTGTATTTATTATTTAAGACGTCATTTTTTGTCTCCTCTGATTCTCATCCGGGGGCCATCTTTCCTCAGGTGACATTTATGACGCTTTCGCCGCATTTCATCATCTTTTGGTAATCATTTTATTTGGATAGGCTCTCGGCATAATGTAGCATTTATTCGATATTTCGGCACGGATATTTTTTGGGGGGAAGGGGTGGAAGGGGAAGATTTTATGATAGGGGGTTCTAGGTAAGACTCTTGTGCTACTTGGCACACCTTGATGTTTGCAATTTTCTTCAGCCTCTTCTGTTAACTTTCAAGTGAGGCAAGTCTATTTTTGGATTTCCTACTTTACTGCTTGGGTGTCTAGTGCTTCCCACAGGTCAATGATTGTACTTACATCATATTCATAACTGTGTTATCTAATGATGGGCTTGCTGACAACAATGTCACCTATTGGCTATTGCCATTCGTAAACACATTTTCAAATTTAGTTAAAAGTTGTCACAGTATAGGTGGGTATATATTTGACTCAGAGCTACCTGCTACATGCAATTATGTTGATGTTCATCTTGCACTATAATTATGAATGATGTATGAACCACCTATCCCCTGCCAATTTTGATGACATGTTTTGCAATTTGCATATTCATAATGGAATTAAGCTTGAACTTTAACTTATTTAAGAAATTTGTAATTTTCAACTAGTTTTCCGAATATGTCCGATGTGTTTGTCACTTGTCCGTCCGATTTCCGAATCGGAATTCGGAAATTTTCGGAATTCCAAAATTTTCGGTTCCGATTGACACCTCTAGTGCGAAGTGGCGAGAAAACTAGTGTAGCCGGTATTAGTTATTTAGGCTGGGGTTGTCTGATTCCTATCAACAAGGAAGTGACAATCTTCAAGGACGATACCCGAGCCAGAAGAGAGACGATTTCCGGTTTATGACGGCTGTGTCGTAACGATACGGGCCACTGCTATCTTACACCTATCCATTGTTTTATTAGACGTTGTCGGATGTTCTCTACACCGTTATCCGTCGTTGTTTCGAATGAGGCGCAGAAAAACGTGTTTGTTTATCGAGTAAATACGAGCTCGAATGTGCTCAGCGGTTGAAGTATCGACTGTTGAAAAACAGGTGGTGACGGAGTGTGCTGAGTGGTGCCACATCACCATTTGGTGACGATTGCGCCCCATCTCTGGAGAGGAAGGGGAGGGGGTCTGCGACACGTCCTTGAATTGGAGGGGAGCAGGAATGCTGATGCGCATTTGGAACTAGTCCTTATCACCATAGAGCTCATTTTGTTGCTTATTTGTGTCACATCAAAAATGATTACGGAGCGAGCGAAGCGAGCGGAGTCTTTCCTTAGATTAACGGAAATTTCTGAGTATGAGCGGCCGGCCGGCCGGCCGGCCGGCCGTGCGGACGCTTTTGCGAGGCTTATATCTCAGCAACCACTTGACCGATTTACACGCGGTAATTTTTGTAGGGTAGCTTCATTCCTTCTACCAAGTATTGGACTATTCCCGATACATGTGGGTGACCCCTTAGGCACGTGCCACGTGCAAAACGAAGAGGTGTCAGTTTCGTTATTGTTGCAATATCTCGGTAACTACTTGGCCGATTGCGCTGAAAGTTGGCATGTAGGTAGGCACCCACTAGGCACTGCATATCCATGTGCCAGAGTTGGGGTGCTGCTGCACGTGCGCACGTGCAGGGGTCGTTTCCAGATCTCGAGAACGGCTCGACCGATTGCGCTCAAATTTGGTACACAGTTAGGGACCGATCAGTAGGGTGCCGTGCACAAGTCAGTTGGGGCCCATTTTGCACGTGCGCACGTGCAGGGTGCCGCTTCCAGATCTCGAGAACGGCTGGGCCGATTGTGCCCAAATTTGGCACATCGCTAGAGACCGGTTAGTAGGGTGCCGTGCACAAGTCAGTTGGAGGTACCCCTCGCAATTTCGCACGTGCAGGGCCCACCCTCTCGCTCGCTCCGTTAGTCGCCCCAAAAGGCGTTATACTGGTTTGTAGTTAACGTTTTTTCCTTACACTCAATAAATCAATTGGGGAATTAATGACAACAAAATCCCCTCAATAAGTTTACCTAGCAATTAACACCGTAAATTAACAGTCGTTTATTTACATTCTACATACATTGACTTTTGGCTAGCATAGTCTGTTCCCATTGAAATCAATTCCTGTATCGACCCTGCCCAACCCTGTGGGTAATTTCATTCGGCGGCCTCTGTAGCCACGCCGTCGTGGGGGGTCGCTATCGTCTGGAACCTGTCCGCACACGTGGGTCAAGGGTCACCGAGCGTGACCGGCCCCCTGTTTTGGAACAATCAATTCCAGTTGTCATGTGCCGTTCGTCGCGCCCCCGCTGGGTCGTGAGGGTGGGCGCAGGAATGTCGTCACCCCTCCCCTTCCTGTCCCTCCCCCTTCCTGTCTCCTCCCCAGTGGAAATTCCTGACCCTGCGGGTGGTGTGATCACGCACAGTACCGAGGGGAGAGAGGGACATGTTGTGACACGTTCCTAGGGGGCATGCTGTCATCTTATGACCCCGTGACCGTTTTAGCCGGAATGTCCAGGAAACCTATACGTTTCCGTCGGGAAAAATAAAGTGATATCACATCGGTCATAATTGGCATTTTTTACTTCTGGGTATGATTTCAAGCATGTTTCACTCTCTCTGGTATTCCTGGTGATATAATGTTACGTCACTTGGTGACTGGGGATGCACACCTGTTTATCCCAGCTTTGTTCTGTGTGTCACCACAACGGACTTCCTGAGGATGTGTGAAGGATTTTCAGCATGACGACATTCTTTGGACATTTCTTAGGTGTCAATTTGAGACATGAAAGAATGAGGTGAGGGTTTTTCAAAAAAAGTTTCGCACAATTTCAACAGTATGATGCAACACAATGAACACGGGTCTCTCGCTGTCTTACGATTCATCGCACGTTAGCAAGACTTTGAATCGCACGGGCAAGTCTTGCTGTATCAGTTGTTGCCAACCGAAGCAAGCTGTCGTCATCCAGCTTCCAGGCGACCTCGGTTTATGCTTTGACTCGTCACCATGACACCACCCATGACAGAGTCATAATGACTCTAATGACGTCACTCGGGGTGGTGACGTCATGTAGTGCCGCCGGCGAGTTGGAGCGGGTCTACCCCTACCGACAGCGGTCGGGACGGTCGGGGCGGTCGGAGCGGTCGGAGCGGTCGGATGGACGGTCAGTCGGTCGGAGGCCGGGGTCGGGGTCGGTCGGTCGGACGGTCGTGGTCGGGCTTTCCGTGTTGGACTCCGTGTCAGGACTTGTGTCAGTGTCAGAGTCAGTGTCGGGCTGATCGGTTTCTGATTAGGTGTCGTACTCGATCAAGCCAGTGGAGTATCTCTCTAAGTTCAGTTGACTGATTAGGGACGCAATTAAGAGAATATGGCGATCGGTAAAATGCTGGTAGAGTTTGTGGAAGAACCTAGGAGATATCAGGTAAGATGATAACCCCCTTATATGTGTATTTCCGCTCTCACGTGGGTATATTGACACTTGTGGTGCAGGTATGCCGGAGTTATGTCAGATGTTTGCCAGTTATCCGTTTCTGCGTGGCATTTATTAGTCAACAGTTGGCTGTCATGATTTGATCACAAAGGTATCCCAATTTCTACTCTGTCGAAAATCGTATATTGCTGCCTCTCTGTTTCGCTCATTTCCGTTTTACCAACGTGCCCTCGTGGGTGACCCCTAGCTGACCTGACCTCTGCTCCTTTTCAGGGGTACGACCTGCCGACGCCGTGGTCGCCCGTCTACACAGACGAGGTCATTGACGAGTCGTCCCCCACCTCCAGCAGCGGCAGTGACTGCGCCGACACGCCGCCGGCCATCATGCAACAGGTAGGTCGGTGGTTCGATTCCCGACGGGGGGGCTGTATTTTTATTTTGATGTTAGTTTGTAAAATGGTTTTATTTTTTTCAATAGTTATTATTTCGATGTGTACGACATACCTAATTCAGATTTCACGACATATCTTTTCGTTTCGCGCTTGTTTTGATAAATTGAAATGCTGCTAGTTTGAAGTTTGGTCTTGAAATAGCGGCGCATTTCACGAACTTCACCTAATGAATAATGGATTTGTCGACGGTCATCCGTTGATCGACCTTCATCCTGCCATGACTTCTCGATGCGTCATCGGCCGAGTCTAATCTTAGCAGCCTGAATCAATGACCCCAGTAGTGTTGAGCGCGAAAATCCTCTCTGGTGGGTGCTCGCTGCGAGTGGCACCCACCCAACCCCGCACCGCTACGTCACTGGATCACTAAATCCGGACGGTGGGGAGTTGTGGTCAACCTAATTCCGGACACTCCGGCCGGATGACGCACCGGATGACGTACTGGCGTCATCACGTCATCTACGTCACCATCAGCTGATCATCACAGCTGAGCGTCATTAGGGAAAATCCGACTAAACGGGTTGAGATTTGATTGCAGGCTATCTCAGCAGACATGCACGGTGGGAGTTTCGTATGTAAGATCGGTTAGCCTTCGGTTTTGCCTTAGTCGACGTTGTGTTCGCTCTGTCAGCGTAAAAAAACGACCCCGCCAACAAAGTTGTAGGTAGTCGCGACTGCCAAGAATGTGCCGTCTCTTCAAGTCGGGTTCGTAGTCTGCTAGATTTTAGCTTAGGTGGTGAAATTCGACCCACTGGTTTAAAGAAACGGCTTAAAAACTAGCGACAGTGTCGAGTTAAAAACGTCGTCGCCTCATACCCCAAGGGCAGCCAGCAAACTTTGTCCTTAGTATATTTTCGTATCAGTCTCTGAGTGTCCTGTCGGCCTACATAAACACTTTTCGACTGGAGTCGCCCGTGGGTGCATTCCTGGTCCTATGACGTCATTGGGACGAGGTGCCAGCTCTGTCACTTCTCGGCACGCCGCACAAAAGACGAGTGTCGTGCCCCGAGCGGGGTGACTGCAACGCCCGGTGCCAACGCCCACCGCCGAAAACCGGTATGGACCGGACCTGGTCCCACTCGACTCCTCAGGGACTAGGCGGTATACCAATGGCACCGTCATGATTATGAAGGTGGCTTTTTGAGTGTCATCTAGCCGGAGGGCAGGTGGTATGCTTTGCGGGTCGGTATACCTGTCCAGGCGGCGGCGGCGGGCTGGAGATGAGTGGAGACGGCGAGATGTGCTGTGCGGTACAGTCTATCCGCCAGGCGCTCTAGCCGACGTGTGTTGCGGGTCAGGCTACCCGTTCAGTGATGGCTCCGAATCGCCCGCATAGAGCTCGTTAAAACGGAAATACGAGTGGATTTAACAACCAGAAGGATGAATTAGATTTTACCCAATGTTAAGAACGTTGAATAGACGACGGCAAAGTCCACTGTAATATCTCAGTAAGCCTACGACAATAAAGTCTCAATCACCGATCAAAATACTTCGCACCAATTCCTATCTCAAACAACCTCCCCCGTCCAATTTCGACACTGTATCTCTTCAATTGACATCTAACGAACTATCTATCTCTCTTCCACAGATCATGTGTCGTCACGAGCAGCAGCGTGAGTCTGAGCGGCTGGCCACGTTCCCCCGCTCCAGGGATAAGGCGGTGCGGCCGTCGAGGGAAGTCCGCCGCCGACGCCACAGCCGTGGGGATGGAAAGGTTAGTGGGCTGCGTTTAGTACGTCCCATAGTACTAACTATGGGACGTTAGTTTAGTACGGCATGCTTGGTTAGCTACAGGTGTTCCTTTGAGTTGTATTTTTACATTTCAGACATTTTTCGGACTTTCTTTAAAGAATTCTTACTGTGTAAACCCGCCAACGTAATATCCATTCAGAATAGTTGTGCTTGTGGATAGTCGATTTGTTTGCGTGAGATGGCGTTTCCAAAGAAAGCGTTTATCCATGACCCGTCCAGTTTTATCAAAGTGAGGACGTCTGTACGGTTTGCGTGTGTGTGGGTCTGTCCATGTTTGTGTGACGATCGCGTGAGAAACAAGATCAGCGGAGGGCGCCTTGTTTTCGCGCTATCCTACTCAGCTATCGATGTATGCCCGGGGGCTATCAGTGTGGGTCTAAATTTAGCCGGATCTCGTGACATCTATGGCGCTGGATGGCCCGCGTTGAAGATTATCGGGTATCACGTAACTGGCTCAGTAAAGCGACTGTTAAATATACCATCAGTCAGCTAAAAATACCCGCCAAATAGCTATTATCACGCCGGATTCGGTCTAAATATATCTAGAAGGGCTAAATTTAGAACGTAATGTTCGAAAATTGCGCCGGGTGGCTAGATTGGCTGCTAGATGAATAGCCTGAACGTATAAGGACTTGATCTAAATGAAGTAACTGTACTTATCTGAGCTTGAACTCATTTAAATTTACTTGAATTACTGGACGTTTTCAACCGAGCCTCTTGCATCTAAAATCTAATAAGTTTTTTTCTGGTATATTCATTCCTTCCTGACGGCGAATGCATTTCTTCTATCCTGTGAGAGCGAATGTATTGTTCTATGCCATGACTGCGTCTGTATTCCTCCCACCCTGACGGCGGTCCTCCTGCCTCCTCCCCCAGGACTCCTCTGTGAGCAGCAGTCAGCCGGAGGACGCCGAGGAGGAGTTTGAGGAGGAGGAGGAGCTCTCCGACTCGGAGGGAATTCCTCCGCTGGATCTGGACAGTATGGCCGGATCGGAGCCCATCCCCAGCTCTGTGCTGAAGGGCAGGCAGCTGGTGAGTGCGGGGAGAGAGAGGATGAGTGGGTAGAGGGAAGGAGGGGGTAGGGAGAGAAAGAGTGAGAGAGAAAGAGAGAGAGAGGGGGGACAGAAAGAAGAGGAAGAGAGGACAGGGAGAGTGGGGTAGTGAGATAGGCAGGGTAGAGAATAGAGATGAATAAGTCGAATGGTCTACAAGAGAGGAAAGAGGGCATTTATTAGTCCCGGGGTATAAGGCTTTCCAGTTCCACGTTTGATGGCACATCAAGTAAATTAATTAGGAAGTGGCAAGATTGAGAATGACCGCCCGGCCTAGCCTCAGTACATGCATTTTATTTGGACCTAAAGCAACACGTGACACAAATCAAGCAAAATTGCTATTTCGTCCGTGATATACGCTACGCTAAATCGGTCTCCCGCTGAAGGAGACCTACTTGGTAGACCTCAGCTCTCACACTCCCAGACATGTGTGAAAGGAGATTAATTCCATCAGAAATGTGTGAATGAATGGAAGTGCCCACCATTCAGCAGTGATCATTGATGTGGTCGGTCAGGCCCAGTTCCGTGCCGTTTTTAGACGTACCATTCACCCCAGGCAGGGGCGCCGCCACCACTACGTACAGTACGTACACTGTACGTAGTGCAATTTTTGACTTGGAAATCCACTACGTACAGTACGTACTGCTCAAAATGTGAAAAAAATAGTTTTTTTTAAAGTTTTTAATTACGTTTTTTTGAAAAGTTTTTTTAATTGAAAAAAAAATCACCAAACTTCAGTTTGTTTTGACCAGTTTTGACATACCAAAATTACATTTGTCATTTTGAACTGTTAAAAAAAAAATAAGGTACGCTCTTGTTGCCATAACAACTAGGAAGCTTGGCGGCTTGGCTCAACCTTGGCTCAACCATGGGAATGCACCGCGCCGAGCAAGCGCCGAGCCAAGCGCCGAGCGTGATGTAGAGTTTTAGGGCCTTGGTGTAGAGGCCTTTTGTGAGTGATTGGTTGCTCATAATGATATAGGGCTTAGGTGGTAGCAAGATCAGCAAGGTGGTAGTGATCTCAGATCTGCAGAGTAGAAGAGTGGAGTGCTATAGTCTGTTCCATATCAAGCTTGCAGTCGGAGTTTCTTCGGCAGATCGCTCCTCCGCTCAATAATTTGCGTCTTAAAATGTAATAGCTGTATATACAGAAATCACGCACTGCTTTCAGCAGGGCACTTCGGCTGCAAGCTTGGAACGGAACAGAGTATAGAAGTTGTTTATTTCGACGCGTCCGTTGACTGCTGTAAGGAGAATGAAGAAACGGAAGCTGCAGGGTCCAATGGACCACTTTCTCAGACTGGCAGCTAAGAAAAGGTAAGGAGTAAGGACTGCTTACCGGGCTCAGAGGTACGTACGGTCCTTCTCCAATCCAAAGGCTAGGCTAGCCCGTGCCGGGCCGGGGGGTGTTTGAACACCCCCCCTGCGGTTTTTCGCAGATATCTCAAAAACGGCGGCGCGGAGCGCCGCCGTTCTTGGCACACCTGTTCGTGCATCTTTTCCGCACATGTTGTGAAAATTTCAGACCTAGGTCGCATTAGGTTAGGTCACCAGGTCACGCCAAGTGACCTCACCTCAGAAAAAATAAGAATGCTCGTCGTAGCTACACCGATTGATCGATTGCCTTGAAACTTTCAGCGATTGGTTAGAGCAACATTATCTATAAAATGTATATCTCGGAATTTTGATATCGGTGACCTAAGTTCAGGTCAATTTTGCGGCCCCTCCATTATAAGTCAATGGGAGAAAATTGAAAAGCGTCTGTTTTGCACGAACGCTATTCTAGACACTCTCAAACATCGAGATGTAGGTAAAATTGACACACTGAACCGGAAAATGGCAACCGTGACCCCTCGTTATGTCCCAGAGGTCATCTCAGGTCACGAACAGAATCTAACCGTTTTTCGCTAATAACTTCTGATAGAGGCGTGCTAGAGCGCTGAAAACGCCTTAGATGTGTTCGGCTCGACGTTGCGGATCGACTGATATGCAACATGACCTTTTCCGGTCAGGTCATGACCTTGACCTGAGGTCAAATTTTCAAGTGGACCTTTCAAGGTCAAATTATAGTTCATTCGACGTGTCTCGACGAGAGGAACACGATGCTGGCAAAAGAAATGTCATGGCTCTTTCGAGTCAAAAGTTATTGCAGGAAAAACGCTTTTCGTAAAACGGCTATTTTTGGAGTTTTTGCCCTCTGGAGGCTAAACCGTTGACCTGAGGTCAAATCTGAGGGCATTACCCAGAAAGGTCTGTAAAAGGGCTATCGAATGAGTATTTCGGCGGCGCTGTAGCTCTATCGGTTCCTGAGATAGCCGTTGGCAGTTTACAAAATGTTGAAATAGTCAACATTTAACCTTTGATGACCTCTGGTGACCTGACCTTTGACCTGACCCAAAAAATGACTGAAGTGTTTTCTTCCTTATTTTGGACGTTCTTTCGATTGCCGCTTACCGCGTGTCGCTACGTGGCCCAGGAGCCGAGTTAGAAGGGGGTGTTCAGACCCCCCCCCCGGCCCGGCGCGGAATCTCAGAGCACCGGCCCGGCGGCGTATTCGCCAATTGTATTACACGAATCGGCCGACCAATAGCGTGCCTCTTGAGTGACGTCAGCGTGGCGTCATACTTTCGGTCCTCGCCCTTGGTGGCGTCTATTGAAGCTAGGTTTTAAGTTAAAGGAAATAGTTCACTTTCGCGAAATTATTTTTTTGCAACGGATTTATGATTTTTTATGTTCAAAATAATCAGCAAAGAAAATAAAACCTTTTTATAACAAAAGATTATTTTCTATATTTTGATATAGGAAGAACTTTTCAGTTTCTGTAAGGCACACGCGATCCAGTATGAAAAGAGCATGGGTCCCGAAAATTCTTCAGAAACAGAGAAATTATCGCAGCCACCGGCATTTGGGCGATCTGCTCGATCTGATAATGTTCCCCTGAATGTCCTAATTGATCAGTACGAGAATTTCTCTAGAGTTCTCGTAGATAATTTCTCTAGTTTCTGAATAATTTTCGGGACCCATGCTCTTTTCATACTGGATGGAAATATATGCAAGGCACACATCCTCAACGCAAGACACCTTTTTCGGGACGAGAAATAGAATATCTTTGCCTAGGGTGATCGTTGGGCTGTAAAAGCTCCTGATTTATGCTCGTCTCAGCCCAAGCTACGGAACTGCTATTCCAGTTCAAAACCCATGTTAAAAAGTGAACTATTTCCTTTAATGACATTTAAGCTATTTGGATCATGTTGACGCCGTGGCGAAGTGGTAAGAGTATCGGACTGGTGATTCAGAGGTAGGTGGTTCGAATCCACTCGGCGACTTCGATTTTCGTGTCATCTGTCATTGTGCGTTTTTTATACATTTGCAACGGCGTGCACCTAAGAAATCAGACGTAGGCATTCTTCTAATGAATATGTTGCATAAGATAGATATTTGCAGTCCAACCGATTGGTTCGGTTTCGGTATTTTCCAATGGTCTTTGTTTGTATTTGGTTTGGTAGCGGTGTTCTGATTTTCTGTGATTCACATCACTAATGCATAGTGCGTACAGCATACTATGCGAACGTAGCCAATGGAAAGACAAATGGTGCTGGGCGATGGCCATTCATTGATCAATATTTCTCGCTGCTAATGGGTGATAGCACGCAGCATTGACAGGGGCGGCGCTGACCTTTTGAAAGTAGGTGGGCACTTGGCAAGGTGAAGTACCTAAAAGTAGCGAAAACTAAGATGAAAAGTAAAAATCGCACGCTGGTAAGCATAGCTTTTCGTGTAAGAATCACCATGCACAAAAAGTTCGGCATAGCTGTTAGCGTAATCACGGGACGAGATTATGTTTCCAGCCGTCAGAGCGTCATCTATAGGAGCTATGCCCTAACTATAATTCTTACATTTCAGCCGCCAGGGGATACCTAAGTCCCCTTACTTGGAATCTAGTTAAAGTCAAAAGAGACCTTTATGAAGATAACTTGGGACTGGTTGTTAAGATGCATGCTCACGGCGGGCTGTTATCAATTTATCTCTATACATGTCTTATCTGATCGATGAAATAATACAGGAATCCGTTGTCATTCGAGTGTGTTTCATAATAGCTCTTCCGACTTTGACGAATATCGACAGTGCCGTAACAAAATTGGTAGTTCAGGTATAGACTGCAACTGCAGTTCTTTTGCAACTTATTCCTTAATCAGATGAATACTTGTCAGAGATTTATTGGACGTACGATATTGGCGTGCGAACGTAGGGGCCAAAAATGCGCGTCTACGACCGACTTCTTTTTAAGAGAAAAGAACCGCTAAAGCAAGAATCGATCCACCGACCTTTCGTCCACCACACCGAGACTCCAACCACCCGGCTACTGCGACACATACATGTTTGATAGCCATATAAAATTTGAAAAAAAGTCTCAACTCAAATCTAGCCTCAATGCATGCATTGTCGCGGCGGATGGCTATGACGTCGCACTAGAGATGTCGCTAGTTGATGGGCCGATTCGTGTAATACAATTGGCGAATACGCGGCCCGGCGCGGGCTAGGCTAGGTGTAGAAGAAAAAAGTAGGTACCGGGAAATTCTTATTCACCCTGACTAACCACGTTTTTTCTACCGTTTTTGGCCGTTTTTGCCAATTTTATCGTAGCTATGCAGGATGAATAAGAATTTTCCGGTACTTTTTTCTTCTGCACCTAGCCTTTGCTGCTCCAGGAAACGGAGAGCCAAAACTGCACCGTGACCTGTAGTCTGCGAGACTCCGTATCACTCATGTATGATTTTATGCAATATTTCCGACCTTCCTCCCATTGGCTTTCCATAGTAAACGTTCTGAAACTTTCGTCACCCTGCGCGACCTGAAGATATGCACTTAGAGGTCTAAAATTTTGGCCTGGTTACTTTTTAGTGCATTGAAATCGATTGTGGGGTTGCGCATCGTAATCCGGAAAATTTCGAGTTTATTGAAACACCCTAGTCTCCATAAGAAGAACGTGAATTTATCGCGTGCGATACTTTTTTCTACTCCGAGTCACTGGTGGTGGACGGTGGTCATTTGACCGTTTGAGACACGGTCAAGTCGGGGGGGGGGGGGTAATGCCTGGACTCCAATGACTTAGGTAAATGAGATAGTTGGCTTAACTAAATTTGTTCCCCACCTAAATTTGATCCGCGCTCAACACAATTCTTCTCATCTCACTCTACCGTATGCACTTCTTGATCATGTAAAATATATACTTGTACATATGGATCATTTTGTTCGCATTTTAACGCGAATCCCATTGCTCCTTTAACCGGTTCCCGGTCTCCTCCGGATCCCATCGATCCTGTCCCTCAGGCACTCTGATGCAGTCGAGCCGACGAATTCTGCTGGTCCGACACAATCCTCTGCCGAGCCGACACGCTCTGGGCAGCACGCCGAGCCGATACGGTCCGGGCAGCACGCCGAGCCGACACTGTCCGGGCAGCCCGCCGAGCCGACACGGTCCGGGCAGCCCGCCGAACCACGCTCTGGGCAGCCCGCCGAGCCGACACTGTCCGGGCAGCCCGCCGAGCCGACACTGTCTGGGCAGCTCGCCGAGCCGACACTGTCTGGGCAGCCCGCCGAGCCGACACTGTCCGGGCAGCCCGCCGAGCCGACACGCTCTGGGCAGCCCGCCGAGCCGACACGGCCAGGGCAGCTCGCCGAGCCGACACGTCCCGCTCCAGTCCACGGGCATCTCTCCGCTGAGCTGAGAGAACCAGCCACCGCACAAGGTGAGCGGGCAAGTAGCTCCGGGGCCGGTGCGATGCCGTTTCCATGTAATCATCCAGCCACATCCTCAATTCCGAAGAAGACCATGTGCGGGAGAAGCTACGGCTTTGTGAGCGCGTGGTACGAAAAGTACCCGTGGATAGACGTCAGCAAAGAGAATCAGACAGTGTTCTGCGTGATATGCAGAACTTTCGAGCAACAGCACCCGGATGCACCATGCCTGCAACGGGCGTTCACGCGTGATGGTTTTGGCAATTGGAAAGACGGAGCCAAGCTGCTGAAGGGACACCAGCTCTCCAGGTATCACAGGGACGCTTTCACCGCTCTTGTCAAGCAAAAGCCGATCCTTACCGCCATGAACTCAGCCACTCGCAAGTCCCAGGCAGAAGCTGCGGAGGCACTCCAGAAGATCATCGCCAGCATAATGCTGCTAGCTCGACAGGGGCTAGCGCTGCGCGGCCACGAGTCTCATGAAGGTAACTTGCGGGAGCTACTGGAGCTGCGCGCAGATGACTCTGATATTATCAGAGAATGGCTGAAGCGAAGCAGGAACTACCTTCACTCGGACATTCAGAATGAGCTACTGGGGCTGATGAGCCACCATGTGCTGCGTGACATCATCAAGGAGATGACAGCGGGTGGACCCACGCCGTTCGCCTTGATCGTGGATGGAAGTCAGGACGTTTCTGGCGTCGAGCAGCAGGCCATCTGCGCCCGATATGTGACCCCAAACCTGGATGTGCTCGAAGAGTTCATAGGGTTCTACGAACCACCATCGACGACTGGCGAGGCCCTGGCAAAAATGATGAAAGATGCGATGCTGCGCTTGGGTCTCTCCATTGACCACCTCCGTGGACTGGCCTTTGATGGAGCAGCAAATATGAAGGGCCAGTTCAGGGGCGCCCAGGCACTCCTGCGGGCCGAACAGCCTCTGGCACTATATGTACATTGCGGGGCCCACTGCCTCAATCTCGTTGTAAAAGACAGTGCCGAGGCATCAGCTGTGATCCGAAATGCACTGCATGCGGTAAATGAGCTCGGTGTTCTCTTCACCGAGTCCATAAAACTGCGTTCCAAATTTGAGGACATATGCAGTCAGTCAGGCGGCGTCTCACCGACCAAGCTGCGCCCACTCTGCCCGACCCGCTGGACCGTCCGCCTACAGGCTGTGTCTGCCGTCCTTGACCAGTACCCAGAAGTGTTGAGTGCGCTGCAAGAAACAAGTGAGTCACAGGGGCATGTCGCTGCCCGAGCGCACGGACTTCTACAAATCTTCTCGAAGAGCAGCACCTACGTGGCGCTGGGGTTGTCACGCTCCGTGCTGGAGCCCCTGCAGAAGGCGACAGTGAAGGCGCAGCGGACAACCTGCACGGTGACCGAGCTGGTCGAGATGGTGGACGCAACCATCTCCGTTTTTCAGACGATCCGTGACAATGCGGATGAGCGGATCGAGACCCTGCTAAAGAAAGCAAGTTCAGTGTCTCTGGAAGCTCCTGAAACCCCTCGGATGAAGAAGCCACCGAAGCGCTTCACCGGACCGGCCAGTGCATACCAGGCACAGTCTCCCGAAGAGTGGCTGCGAACCGAGTACTTGGCGTTCCTGGACACCACATCTGCCGGTCTCCGGGAGAGATTCAAGCAGGGATGCGGAGCCGGAGCCGGAGTCGGAGCCGGAGCCGCCGGAGCCGGCATATTTTGCCCGGAGCCGGAGCCGGAGCCGGAGCCGTGAAACAATATAGCCCGGAGCCGGAGCCGGAGCCGGAGCCGCCAAAAAAGGGGGCGACTCCGGCTCCTTTATATTTTTTGAAGAGGAAAAAAATAATTGACCTAGTTCGGTTTGACAGTACAAGGCAGTAAAACATATGGTACTTACGTCATGGGCCATCAAGTAAATGAAAAAATCCGAATATCCCCAGTATCCCACAGTACGCAAACAACTTCCTGTTTGCTCTTCCCCCCCCCCACGTCTACTGCATCCCCAGAACATGAGGACCAGCCATCAGGTGACGGCCATTGTTTTCAAACCAGTGCAGTGGACTGCGACTTCCAGCACCGTCTCATCCCACACACCCCCCACCCCTCACCCCCCAATGCAGCCGAGACGGGTGTCAGCTTACGATGGTTCACTGAACTCCGATTCGCGGCGACTGCGTTTCCAATGCCATCGCTTCCTAGCCCTTTGTTCTGCCAGTTCTCTCCGAGGTGCGTTTGCGCGGGGACGCGGTGAGCCGGTCATGGCAAAGAGTAACGCGTATAACCAATCCAATTTTTCTTCCACCCGTATTTAATTGATTGCGTAGGGGATGTACTGAGTCGGAGCCGGAGCCGCCGGAGCCGGACCATTTTACTCGGAGCCGGAGCCGGAGCCGCCATAACATTTCACCCGGAGCCGGAGCCGGAGCCGGAGCCGATTTTTTTCTCCGGAGCCGGAGCCGGAGCCGGAGCCGTCTGAAATTTCCACGGCTCCGCATCCCTGGATTCAAGGGTGATGGTATCGCCAAGTACAAGGTGTTGGAGAGTCTGGTGCTCCAGGAGACACCGCAGTCAAGATGCGTCGAAGACGCGCGCCGCTGCATGGATCAGTGGCCGCCGGAGCTGGACGAAGGTTTGGCTTCGGAGCTTCAGGTGTTCCTGCGTGACCGTAGGTTCCAGTCCCTACCAGAGGTGGTCAGCGCCTTCCGCGAGCTGAATGGCGGAGCCCGGTCGCTTCTTCCTAACGTGGAACGTCTCCTGCGTCTCCTGCTGGTCCTGCCTGCGAGCTCGGCCACAGCTGAGCGATCATTCAGCTCCCTCCGACGCCTGAAGACATGGATGCGATCAAGCATGACGCAGCGGCGGCTTAATGATGTGGCAGTCCTCCACGTCCACAAGGATCGGGCTGCCAATGTCAACCCACGTGCCGTTGCCGCAGAGTTCGTGGCGTTGAATCCGACTCGTGCCAGCACCTTCGGAAAGATGTAGGACTTAGCAGGGACCAGTGCTACCTGATTGGGACGTTGGTCGAGTAGGCTGTAGTGAGTGTAGTGGCCTTCATGTTATGCGCGGGCGGTGACACCGAAATATATTTTTTTTTCATAAGCAGAGCCAGAGGCAAGGTATATCCCGGTATGTACCTACTGAGGGTATATTCATACCAATTCATACCTAGATGTAACTCGACGTTGCATAGGTAACATGAAAATACACAGTCTGAATCTGAGTTGCTTTGTTTTGTTTATTGTATTCAAGCCATTTCGACTAAACAGACAAAAGGATTAAGTAGGACTTCGGATTAATCTGACTACAGAATAGTTGTACAAATGTTTTCAAATAACAGTCGAAATTGCTATTTATGAAGGTGGTCCCGAAGAAAATTTTCACTATCACAAACTCTCCGGCTGGAAAAGCATGCTTCTGCCCCAGGCCCCCATAGTGTAAGTGCAACTGTAACTACATACATCATTCTGCAGACTGCAATCGGTTCGAAGCCAAGGGAGGGACGGAAGGGACAGCCGTCTTTCCCTTGGTCAGCTGGGTGTTTATTAGATCATTCGTTTTACTCATTTTGTATTATTTTTAATGAAAATGTTGACTTCTCGGCAATCAGTGGGACGAATCCGGAGAGTTTTCAGGTTTTGGTGATGTTATAAATAGGCACCTTGGAACTTGGGAAAATTTTCATCCCACCCTGGGTGTCGTGCCTGAGCCTACCACTAACCTGCATGCGGGTGTACGTAGTGCTCATAAAAGCGTGGCGGCGCCCCTGACCCCAGGTGTCGATCAAGTATCGCGACTGCTGCGTAGTGGCTCTCTTGATCGGCGCGATTTCATTTGCAGTTGAGTGGAATATTGAGAGCTATTTTGGAGTGGCTGCGTGGAGGGGAGAACTGCGTAGCAAAGTGGCGTCAATGATTGATGATTTTGTGGGCAGTGAATGGAACTATTTTTAGAGCACATGCGTGGGATGTGTAAATGATAACTTGCTGGGATGGCTAAAATAGGAACCCAATGACAGCTGAAGTCCGAAGCAACCGACTTCGGCGAAGTTGGAGATGTTGAAGTACCGTTTTGGGCCTCCTGTCTGTCATATCGGTCTATCTGTGGTTTCATTCTATCTAGGGTCTTTGCCCTTGGGTTTTTGACCGTTGTGATGCGCCTTAGAAAACAAAGATGATTATATTAAATTAACTACGCTTGTGGTTCTCACATCTGACCATTTCGTGGAAATTCCCTTACTATCACGGGCATTCGTGCTTCTCATGAGAATCGCATGCATCTTAAGCGCCATGGAAATTCCGAAATGAAGGGACTGGAAAGCGATGTAAGAATGTGCCGTTATTTAGTGTATTCAAATGTCTTCAATGTCTTTTTGTGGGCGCCATGTCTTCACATACTCTTGTTCGTGAACACCTCTTATCATTGTCGTGTCATCATATTTAACTCTGACCATTGCTATGTCCTCTTTCAAGTTATATAACCAGTGTCTCCCCCTCTCCACAGACTGAGGACGAAGCCATTCTCTCCCCTCGCAATTCGTTCGTTCTGCCGGATGCCGAGTTCACGGAGCAGCAGGCCAAGCTGTGCTCGCGCTTCAACGAGCGCCTGCCGGCTTCACCCGGGGCCTCGAGCCCCTCGGAGCCTCGCTCCCATCAGCTGCGTCAGACCATCGCCAGGTAAGAGATGCTGTTGTTGTTGCTGCTGCTGCTGTTGCTGTTGTTGTCGTTGTTTTGCTTGGGTCACCGTTACCCAGGAGCTGTAGCCAGCATGTCTGACAATGCGTACCATAGTGTATACCGTATAAATAAGCTAAAATCCTGGCAATGCGATGCTAGTCGTTGATGGTAAACTGACACCTTGTGCATATGAATTGACACATACACATTTTGACACCTAGACACTGACACCCGACACTATTTAACGCTTCCTCGTCTCTTTTTCCACAGTGCCAAGCGGAAAATCCGCGCCTACGAGGAGTCCTTCGAGCGTCGCTTCGGCTACCGGCCTTCGCACGCCGACAGAGCCAAAGACCGCGAGGTCAAGCGCTGTCTCTCTGAGCTGAGCAAGGCCAGACGCGACCTGAAGGCTCTGAAGCAGGACCCCACGCCGACTCCCGCCAGGCCGGTGGAGCGGGTCGACACAACGCTCGCCGGAAAGGAGAACCGCTCGCCGCCCGAGGGCGAGGGAGAGGGAGAGGGCGAGCGGACTCTGCAGCAGACTGTGGCCGATGTGACCAGGGTGAGTACAACTGGGAGTCTTAGGGCGAAGTGGGTGATTCAAATCCTCATAGCGAGAGGTATTGAAGTTCCAACCAAGCGTGGTCACTTTATTTTATGGGCGGCTCGAAGTAATATTCCGTTAGTGACTTTGGAGGGATGAGTTTGTGTCGCTCTTTTGTCATTTGCTCTTATTAGTTCCCTAGCGCTATTAGCGGTCTTTCTATGTATAGCGCCAACTTGTTCGACGGTTTTTGAACACCAAACTGCTTACCCCCTCACCCTGTGGTCTATTTGTGATTTGTGTTTGTCCTACATTGTAGGTACCCTGTGTAGTGTGTATACTGTATATCTTCTGTCTCAATTATAACCTTCCCCCTTCTTCCTCAGCGCCTGACTGAGAAACGCGAGACCGCCGGCCGTCCCACTGAGCCCGACCGTATGTCCCGCGAGCAAGTTCTGGCTGAGAAGCTGGCCCTGCAGAAGGCGCTGCTGTGCCTCGAGGAGCGTCACGGCCGGCCCGCTCACAAACGGGACAGGGACATGGTGCGCCCGCTGTACGAGAGGTACCGGCTCGTGAAGAGGCTGGCCATCAAGTCGGGATCGGTGAGTGGATGACGGGGCACTGTGGGAATTTGATTTACTTGTTAGGGTATTATTTCGTTTTTGAATGGCTTACTTAGTGTTGGTGTTCAAATGAGAATGTATGGATAATGATGCTCGATTGATTGGCATTTGTAAATTAATGCATAACTTTTATTTTATCTCTTATGGGCTGAGGTCGTTTTGAATTTGGCGAGTTCAAGGCTAGTACTGACGAGTTTCTCGCCTCTTTTCCACAGCCGAAGCTGCGCGACTCGATTGGCGAGCTCACCCCGATTCTGGAGCACGAGACCATGAGCTTCACGGCCGCCGACCGGCCCGCCATCTGTGAGCGCGACGACGAACTAGAGCCTAGCGGCGGCCGGTCGCCAGGCGGCGTTACCGATCGCCTGCAACTGGACGACAACCTTCACAACCTGCCTGTCTCCGAGCTCCGCAACCTGCTCGGAAAAGCCAAAGAGGATAAGAGGAGGATCCGAGGACTCCTGCTGGTGTTCGAGGAAGACTTCCGCTCCAATGTTGGCCGGAAGGTGAGCAGAGACTGGTGAAACAAGAGAAGGTTGACGGCGATGATGTGATATGGACGATTAAACGAGCAAATATGGCTCGCTTTGAGCTGTCATTGTTATTTAAGTAATGAAGTCTTCTGTGGCGAACATTCTGAGGATTAAGAGTTCCATTTTAATACTGATGAGGGCGAGGCGAAATTTTGTCTTTGCATTCTTGCTGTGTCCTTCAATATCGTCGCAAACTAAGAGCGTTAGACATAGAAGACCCCAAGCAACCCTTGATACACAACCATGTGCCTGACGACAAAACCCGTCTTTTGTGTTCACAGGTTCAGAAGGACGACCGGGGCGAGATGGACGACATGTACTCCGAATACAAACGGGCCAAAGCCAAAGTCAAGCTACTCGAAGTTCTCGTGGCCAAGCACCGTTCCCGAGCCTACACCATGTGAACTGATAGACCGGACGATTTGGTGGCAGTGGAGCGGCTGCTTGTGCTGCCATCTATTGACACCCATGACGAACTAAACTGTGGACATCTAGCGGCGAGGTGACGAACTGAAGCTGTATTGTGTGGCGCCAGATGGAACTGAGTGCGGGCGGGGAGAGTGGGCCACTGCTATCGACAAGAGCTGTACATATATATTTGAGCTGTGAGCTCGCAGAGCTGTGATTGTGAGGGCCCGAGGGTGGGCGATGCAATTGTTGTTCAGCGTTTCAGGGGATCGAGGCTTATCGGCTCTACTTGAATGTTGGCGTCTCGTTGGACCTTATGATCGCGGCGCTGTTTTGGACGTTTCGAGCGTCGCTGTTGTGGTTGGTAGACGGAACGAAGAGCAGCTGTTATGTATCGGCAAAGTGTGCCGTATGTCTAGTGGTGTATGCGTATTATTTATTACATACGGACGCTCCCAAACCAGTGGGAATATGGCGGGCCAGCGGCACCGGCCACTGAAAACAAATATCGCGACAAATATACGCAGAGTTGTCGTAGATAATACTTGTTTTGACGGAATAGTGGACTGTAGGTGACCAAACACACCAAACACTCAAGTGACCAAACACTGGTAACTCAGCGACAGTAGAAACACTTCAAGGAGATGCTTGCAGTTCGAGGAAGCGAGATAAAGGAACATCAAGCTTCCTAAAGGAACGGAACTGAATAGGAACTAGTTAGCCGATCGATCGACGGAATGGTTAATGGAATCCATAGCTGTCACTGTGTAGAAAACGAACATAAAGTTAAGTAAGAAACAGAAACCGTTAGCGTGGCTTATGTTTCATCTCTCGACTTACGTCTAGCATCTGTTATAGCAAACACGCCAAACTCGAATGCAGTTTTGGAAAACTGCGCCGCCGCTCGAGTGATGATGCTTTTTTGCGCTCCGTGACTCCAGCTGGCGGAACGCGCAGACCGCGAGTGGTATCGACTCATTATCGACTGGTAGGCCATACGCATGCGCGGTGGTTCAGTCAATCCCCCCCCCCTCCCATGGGGGATGGGGTGGGGATAATCGTTATAGCGATTATCGGCTTTGTGGGCGCTGGCGACACGATGGGGAGGGGGGGAGGGGAGATAGTGACAACAACACGATACGCATGCGGGGCCGCGGGCACAACGTACAGGCCTGGCTACACTATGCGTTTTCTGCGTGCGTTTTTGCGAGTGTGCGTGTTTTGCGTAATAACGTTCTAAGGAAAAAAAAAACGATATTATGTTATCGAGGTGTTTTATATTAAATTTTAGTTACATATTAAAGGGATATTAACTTTGGTATATAACTAATCAACAACTAATATTAAAGACTAAAGTTTTATTATTTTTAACTTTTTCTAGAATGATATTACGCAAAAAAAACGCGCGCAGAACACGCATAGTGTAGCCAGGCCTTACTTAAAAGGTAGTTAACGCCGTATTTTGGTGTAGGAGAAGCTTTGAAACTGCACTCTGGCCAAGCATCTTTTTGCTACATAGGTATTTCCAGCTGCCGGACATTGGTCACGTGACCACATTTTCCGTGTGACCTTGAGTTGGCACCAGATTTTGTCGACAGACGTGGCGCAGCTTATTTTACTGCATTATTTTAGATACTAAATATTTAGGCGTGTGGTGGTAAATGATACCGTGCAAATAATATTGAATCATCGGTGACATAGTTACCATTGATACTTGAATAGCATCAATAAAATGCAATTAATCTATTATTACTCTTCCATTGATTTTATTGTTTGCAGGCATAAGTAGAAACTGAAAAGCTGAGCCTGCAGCTTACAGTTGTTCTATACAGTAGCGGCGGAACACCTTCAATTAAGGGGGGGGGGGCACTGCCGACTTTCGGTCCGATTCTTTCCATGCAACGCCCATAGGGCTAATGTTAAAATGCCAAAATTATAGGGGGCACGGTGCCCCGGTGCCCTCCCCGTTCCGCCGCCTATGGTTCTATAACTCATGCATAAATCAATGCTACTGAGGGCTGCAAATTTGTTTTTTACCTATCTTTAATAACTGATGCCCTACCTTCATCTACCATTATCTGTAAGAATCTTGCATCAATCATCACCAGACTTCTTAGTTTTTTTTTTTTTACATACCTACGCCCCAGCCGCGAGAGTGGGCGGGTACGACTCCCTCGCCTTAATTGAGCTAGCCTCACGGGAAAAACGAGCATGTGTGCCGTTACGGGACCGGGGACGCAGCGATTGATGCACGGTTTAAAAGTCTCAGGTCAACTGATGCCCTCTGAGGGTCAGGTCAAGTGCCCCGAGGGCCAAAATACGATTTCGGGTTTTGAAAAATAACTTTGTCAAAAAAACGGCGCAGAGTCGCTATTTTAGTACCATCATGTTTGTCATGCTCCGGTGCGTCAAAATGGTACACTTTTGTTTGGGTGGGGTCAACATAAGGTGTTCACATTAGATCAAAGCCAGGTCAGAGAAACGATCAGGTCACGAACTTGGTCGGAGGAGGTTATATCGCATATCATTCGATTCGGTAAGTCTTCCCGAGTCTATTGGCGACTTTTCCGACTTGCCAGCTCATTTTTATCAGGAGTTATTGACGAAAAAACTTGTGACATTTGTGACGTCATGAATGACGTCACGCGAGGTTAAAGATGCAAAAGTGAAGCATTGGACATTGCAAGAATTGCATGAAATTGCGATTCCATGTGCTTGAGCTAGGTTTAGATCATTCTCGGCGTCAAAATTACAGTTTCCATATTTTCCCCCATTGACTTGTAATGGTGATGTCGCGCGATCGGCCTGACCTCATGTGACCTCTAGGAGAAATCTGAGATATACAAGTTTTGAGACTCCTAGAGGATACTAGGTCCTGTAAGTATCATCTCGCTGTGACAGCTCCTCTGGCACCGAGGGCATTGCGAAGTTTCGGTATTTTGGGACTATTGCAGAGGTTCACGTGTGACGTCATAAGTCAGTGACCTGACCTGAGACGGAAATGCAATTGGTTTCCAAAGATGCGTATGGAAGCAAAGATAAGGTGTGCCAAATAGCAGCCCTCTAGCTGTAAGGTGTTTTGAGCTAGCGCCAATAGTCGTGAGTGGAGCGCTACTGACTCCTCCGGTCGGCCGCCGGGGGTAAGGAGGCGTGCAGGGTATCGGAAAACCACCTGGTACTTTGCGAATTTTGCCGATAAAAATACGGTTCTTATGTCAACTTGTAGCCAAAAGACTACTGAATCTCAAACCAGTCGTATCCTTGCACTAAATGGCTTGGTTTAGACACGATAGGTCTGAAAAGAAAAGGTCCCATGTATTCTCTATGGGCGCCGCGAGGCCGTTGGCACCAGAGTTTCGGGAAGTGCCCTCGCCACAACCGCACGTGCAGATTTGGTCACGTGACCAAGCGCATTTGCCGCCACTGTATTTATATACACTGTGGGTATTTCAAGTTTTTAAGGTCAATTTATTAGGCAATACCTCAGATTTAGGTAGGTATATCACTATATCATGCACATTGCTCAACTTAAATGTTGAAGGCCAGAAAGAAGTGTGTTAACGTTCAAAAGAACAAGTGTACCATTTTTGCAAGTCCTCTCGTTCATATGATGTTCCGGGACGCGAACATGGGAGGGGCTGCGACTTGCGAGCCCCCTAACCTCTACCTCTTGGTAACTGGCAGGGTGGATGGGGGGAGAGAGAGAGAGAGAGAGAGAGAGAGAGAGAGAGAGAGAGGGAGAGAGAGAGAGAGAGGGAGAGAGAGAGAGAGAGAGAGAGAGAGAGAGAGAGAGAGAGAGAGAGAGAGAGAGAGAGAGAGAGAGAGAGAGAGAGAGAGAGAGAGAGAGAGAGAGAGAGAGAGAGAGAGAGAGAGAGAGAGAGAGAGAGAGAGAAAGCTAAGAACAAGTAGAACGGCGGATTGAAATTTGAAAGATGGAAAGAGAGGAAGAGAAAGGAAAAGGTCCACTATACAAACTTAAGAGCGAGAGAGGAGATATTCACAAAAGCCGAGAAAGTTGCAAGGAGCGCCAGCCGACTGGGAGGTAGGTAAGATGGAAAAAAGTAGGTATTTTTATAACCTTGGTTGTACATTTATATTTGCGTCTTGACATTTCACCTGATCTAGCCTGGCTACCTAGTACCTGTTAGTTGGTGTGTCGGCCGTTCAGATCGCGGCTACAACACCGGAGCTCAGCGACCATCCTCCACATTCATATTAACGCTAATAAAACTACGCCCATTGTCTTCAGTTCGCAGTGCAGGAAATGTTTAAATTATGCTGATGCTACTCATTTCCCTGATATACTGCAATTGCAATAGTAGGCATATCTCTAGCTACTACCTCATCATTCATTTTCAGCTGTAAACCGTAGATAAGTCATGATTATCCACGCGCTTACCCACGTGATACCTACTAGTGGTGTCAATCGGAACTTGAATCTTCGGAATTCCGATTTGTCCAATGTCCAATTCGGAATTTGGTTGGACAATGACAGCAGGCTTTGGACAACTTTGGACAATCGCTTGCTACACCTCAACATTTTTAGAAAGTAATCGTGTTTAACATTGATTGGCTATTAGAAAGCTCAGCTTTCGATATGGTTAACACTTTTGAGCTGGTAACGATACATTAAAAGCAAATTAAATAACGGTGTTGAGTGTAAACTATTGCGTAGATGTTGGACATCTTTGGACAAATGGCTGGCTTGGACATTTTGTTGTTGTTGTTGTTGTTCCTCCCGGGCGACCTCTAGGGTCGCCCGTCAGCCAGTGGCTCCAGATGGCGCCTGAAGCCGCGGGCCAAGGCCGCGACGACGTCGCCGTCGCGCAGCTGCGCAGGGTCCACGTGTATGTTGCCGAGCAACCGAAGACGGAGTCCGGCGAGGCTCGGGCACCGGAGCAGCACATGCTCCGGTGTGTCCGCCTCCTCCTTGCACACGATACAGCGTGCCGCAGGGCAGTCCTTCTCGGGGCAGCCGGGGCACGAGTTCGTCGGAAGGCGGCCGATACGGTGGAGATACTGGCGGGCCATTCCCCAGTGACCGGCCCTCAGTTGGTGTACGTCCACCGCCTCACTCCTGCTCACGCCGGAGACCGGGCTCGGCATCCGGTCTCCCCAAATTCGCCGGAAGAAAGAATCCGGCCACGACTTGCGCCATGCCTCTGCAGCCGTCCTGGCCACGGCGCTCGTGATGGTGCGGACATCCGCTGGCGCCTCCTGCTGGAGGCCGGCTGCTTCTCTCGCCAGCTCGTCCGCCTTTTCATTACCGGGGATACCGCAGTGCGCTGGTACCCACTGCAGCATCACCTCTTGGCCTCTGGCGGAGATGCAGAGCAGCAGGGCCCAGATCGCCGCGCCCATCGGGGTGGTCTGCGATCCCGCCCCCCCGGCCAGCAGGGACAGCGCCGCCCGGGAGTCGGTACACAGGACCACGGGTCCCTCTGCCTCGGCACCTGATAGGTTGCTGACCTCCTCCAGCGCCGCTTTGATAGCGCACAATTCGGCGCGGGTGCTGGAGCACAGGCGTCCTGCGGCGACCCTG